TAAGGCTTAAGCGGAAGTCCGGTATTGTCTCCAAATAGAAGATATAGCACTTCGATGATAATCTGCAGCATTTGCAAAAATGAAAAAATTCAGCTAGATGAGCGCGCTGTTGACCTAATAAGAAGATCCGGTGTGACCAGTTCTAAAGCCAAATTTTCCCTTACAAAATTGACAAACGGCATTAAATTGACATTTTGAGCAACGAAGCAATTTTCAAGTCTACTCTTTCAATTTTCAATCAACTCTTAACCTGAAGATAGTAGATTAGTAATAATAGCAATTCCAACTTTTCTAAGCCTAGCTAAAAACTTGACAACGATAATAAGCCACATACTAGACTAAACTATTTGTCAGACACCGTAATAGATGGAAGGAAAATAGAAGATAGTATGTTAAAATTACGTTGACATATGAGATTCGAACAGTAGAATACATGGAATAGTTATGAACGCATCACTCATGGCTTTAATGATTGACCCCTTCTTTGATTCCTCGTCACTGTACTTTCGGTTTGAATGTTAGAAGAAAGGCGCATATTTGACGACTGCATGGGAGGACTAAGTAATCTTACGTTTCTTTTTACATTCTTAGCCTCCCCTTCTCATGCTGGCGAATACGCTTTCTGATTTTCACAACCTTGCTTAAGTCGGTGATTGCTCTTGTCGACTACCCATATCAGATAAGTGGAAAATAAAAAAGACCGTCCAGGTTGTCAGCTATAGAGTACGGAATTCTTGCATGCTTTGAATATACAGCAATTATAACAGATACTTCTATTAAAATGTATACCAAGTCTCTTTTCTGGAGGCTGGCCTCTCTGATCTATCCCTAAAGACTTTTAATTGCAGTAGATTGTGAACACCTACCTATCGCAGTAGTAAAGAAGGATGTAACGATTTAAACCTAACCTGACTAATATATAGATTTCCACAACATCTGAAAATCCACTAATCTAATTGCTCTTGCACTGATTCAACTATATCATTAATAGTTTATTTCATAGTGTACTTTTGATGTAATTGAAAATATAAATTAATAGGTACGTGGTGAAAATAAGAACAATAAATAACTTAACAACTAGTGCTGCGATTAGATATGCTTATTTACCCTTCTTCATTGTTTTGAGACATAAAATGAGGTTTTATAGGCATGTTGTACGATGACTCGTATTCAACGACATTCGCTTTCCCAAGCTTTAGCCGCGGTTCTCTAGCAATTACGATTATTGTGGCATAACATTTACCTCCCAAGAAATTTTTTGCTTGCGAAAGGGGTTGTCTATTACACTAAAAGCAAGATCAACGGCACAATCTGTGTTTCGCTGTTAAAGATTCATTCTACTTTGGCAGTACGGTTCAAAGAATGAATATGGAGATTTGCATTAATCTTTAAAGTTCAAATAATTTAACATTTATTTGAGTAAAATCAACCATTGTTTGTAAATTCTCACTCCTGTATTTACATTTTGTGATAATTATAAACCTTAACGTGGTGCTTCAGTGTTGAAACTTACACATTTGAGCAACTCTGACCAAAATTTTCGTCCCAATGTCAGTGAGGGCTATATAGCTGGTCAATATCCCGGCGAATTCTTTCAGACTGTAACATATGAAGATTTAGACACAGAATCGCCAGGAAACTGTCAAAAACGTTGACAAATATTTTTTTTAGATAGATGGTAAAAGCAACATGAATATGCGTCAAATATGGTATTGATTGCCGGACTAGGTCGTTGATTAACTTACCATTGAGTTATAAAACTAAGACAATGCTTTTTAAGAGTTTGACGAATCCCTTAAGTTTTTATTGACGGTATCAGCGACAACTAAGTCTGCATTTGTAGGATAACGTAGACCAATTGTATTTTGTTATGGACGTTGTGAAGGAAGAACTTGGTAAATACGGCTCGAAATTGCAACCTTGAGTATTGAAGCAGATCTAGAATGTCAAGAAACAAGTTGAAATCACCATGATATTTTGCATAAACTTTACAGAGGTTTT